ATAATGTAATGTAACAATAGTTACCTCAGCGTCGGTCAAATTACACAACGGACTGTAGCTGCAACTGTCGGCAATGAAACATGTTTAATTTTTCGCGTTCAGTCGGCCGACTTTTTAAAACTGTCGGCTGACAAGAATCGACAGACTATGATCGGTCGTATAATTTCACGTTTAGGGAATAAGAAACGACGCGTATTATGAATCCCCATTATCAAAAGTAGAAGTGTTTATGACGTCATAGCTTAACATTATACTACGATAATTTAAACATCTATTCACAAATTTATAACACTATGGGATTATTAGGTTATTATGCCACTTTTTTTAGCTCTATATCATCACACAATAACGTACATTTCTATTCGCAAGTAAATCGTGTTAACACAAACTCCCCAAATTTAACTAAATTTATTTATTTTATTTAGATGGTGGTGATCCATCTCTCCAGTACGGCGTTGTATGCCAAAAATAAATTACATTGATTATTATTTAAATTGAAAAATTATTTTTGTCGATGTTAATTTTTGATTGTTCTATGTTTACATGTAATTTTACAATCCGATTGTTCGAACTGTGTAATCGAACCTGTAAGCCGGCCATGTAATATGCAGCAAAACGAATAAGAGATGAAACAATGCAACAATGAGATGAAATGATGCAACAATGAGATGAAATGATGCAACAATGAGATGAAATGATGCAACAATGAGATGAAATGATGCAACAATGAGACGAAACAATGCAACAATGAGATGAAATGATGCAACAATGAGATGAAATGATGCAACAATGAGACGAAACAATGCAACAATGAGATGAAATGATGCAACAATGAGATGAAATGGATGCAACAATGAGATGAAATGATGCAACAAGGAGATGAAATGATGCAACAATGAGATGAAATGATGCAACAATGAGATGAAATGATGCAACAATGAGATGAAATGATGCAAATATGCGACTGAGTAATGCGATTACGGGACTAATTAGTGCAAATATGAAATATGAACATACAATGAAATAGAAATGTCTATAGTACTTCGCGCAGTATTCCACGGATCCCTTCATATTTGGCATTTGTGTAGTATTCCACGGATTCCTTAATATTTGGCGTTTGTGTAGTATTCCACGGGTCCCTTAATAT